CCCCAAATAAAATACTACTCAGTTTAGAATGTGGCGGTTTCCATTTTCTTTTTCACTATCCCTATATACCCCCTACAATAATATAGCAGCTTCCATGTTCTTTTCCATTATCCCCTATATAACACCTATACAACCCCTATAAATCGCTATAAAATCAAAGTTTCCATGTCATTGTCCATTTTCTTTTCCATTTGATTCTCCATCATTGGGGGGTAGTAAGTAGTATACCCATAATTGTGGGCTATGCAAAACCCCTGTAGGGGCTCTAGGATTGGAACTTTGGTTTAGGGCTCTAGGTTTGGAACTGCGGTATTCAGCTGTTTAGGGTCCAGGGTTCAGAGTTTAGGGTTTGGTGGAGGGGGGGAATGTTTAACAATACCTTCAACGAGTACAGTGGCTGCTATGTATGGGGTTTCCAAGAACAAGGATTAAAGCATTTGGGGCTCTATATTGGGTACCCTCATTTTTTAAACTAGCTGCATAGAGGGCTGCACAGGGTGATAACTCAGGATCCTCATGGGGGTCAATTAATTGGCATTTTCCTTAGATAGGGTGATCCCAATATCTGGAGCCCCAGCCCTTTGAGTGAGCTCAACTCTGCGACTGGGGTGACCATTTTCCTGAAAGGTGCCTGTTCAAAGCTGCCATGAGATAGCTAAGCTCCACGCCCAGAAATTCAGGGGCTCTGTTGAGAAATGAAGCCTGCTCATTGCCAGTTGCAGTAGAGCTATCATCATGGATTTGCCAGCACCACTAAGTGCACCTTTCACTCAACCCAGCGATGACAAAGAAATGGCCCCATGTCTGAGCAGCGAACGTCTTGGGGATGGTTAGCAGGTTCTTGCCGCTAACACCTCACGATTCGGATGACAAGCATGCTCATGATTCTCATGCTCCCCATTGAAACTGACCCTGAACATCATCACTCCTGTACAACATCATCATGACTATCATGACCACGTTGTTTCCATAAATAGGGGGACCCAAATATGCACCCAAACATTGAGGAGACCCACAGAATGGTAAACCCTAGACCCCGCATCATAAACCCCAGACCCTAAACCATCCAGGCCTCTCCGTACTGTCCAGGACTTGGTATCATATGGGCCATTCTCCCTATGACCTTTTGATTCCATGAATTGCCATGAACCCTGAACCCAAAGTCTTTTCCATACCACTCTCCATCACTCCTAATATCGCCACTAGCCCTATATGAGCTATAGTCTAAACTCCTAGTATCCCCCTTGATAACCCCTACAGTAGTCCCTTATATAATCCTCTATATAACCTCCCTGTAAGAAGTTTAGCCTATAGCTCATATATACCTTAATCCCTATTAACTACCCTATAATCCCAGTCTCCATTTAATTTTCCATCTTCTTTCGGATTTGATTCTCCATTCTTGGGGGTAATATCCCTAAGCCCTAAATAGCAGTTTCCATTTTATTTCCCACTATCCCAATATAACACCCATATAACCCTAAACCCTAAACCCTAAATCCTAAACCCTAAGCCCTAAATCCTAAACCCTAAACCCCAATATAACCCCTATAGCTAGGCCCCTACATTAGGGGGATGTCCAGATGTCGAGCTCTGGACTCCGCAGCTGCGCATTGAAAACGATGCGGATGGCCTGCAACCCAAGCCATTGCAGGGTTTAGGGTTTAGGGCTCCTGCTGATTGGATATCTATATGATACATACATGTCCCCTGAAGTATATGGAATGTTATTGGGGTTATATAGGGATTATGGAAAAGAAAATGGAAACTACTACATTATAATAGGGTATATATTGGGGTTATTTTGATATCCTGTAGTCTCTCTCCTTAGACCTATAAGAAATATGTTTTAAACTACTTTCCTTAGGGTTATACTATAACAAAAATTAAAAACAATTCCTGAGGACAGTACAGTATCTATATGATACATACATACAGTAGCAATTAAATAGATAGAATATGGGGCATATGGGGATCTTATTAGAATATACCCAAAGCCATATTCTATCTACTTCAGGGGGACTATACACACATGTTAGCTTCTGTAAGCACAATGTCATGGCAAATTACGTCAGCGCAGGCATGAACTTGAGTGGATATCTTCTTGCTCCCTCTTACAGAGGCTGAAGCTACGTGTAGACGAAGTGGCTCCGCAAGAAACAACTGGACCTACTGTCATATCGTGCTGGCCATGGTTTGGCCGCCTGGCATTCCTAGTGATTTCCATTGTTTGAGCGATGCATCGAAGAACTGCAAAACTTCAGAAAGGAGTGGCCATCGAGAGTTGACCCCCCAAACCTTTTCCAACAATAGCTGCCCCTCCAAGATGCAGCATTCCCGTATACTACTGCTGACACCATCACGACTTGGAGGGAGAAGGAAGGTTTTCCTCAATGCCACAATAAGTACCTTCCCCAATAAAACACGAAGGTGCGATTGGGAATATCTTATCATCAGGGGTGGCGGGTTGATAAGTAGAGGGGAAGAATTGAAGGGGAATGGAATGGATCCGCATCGGCTTTTCGCCCTCTCTGCGTCCGGTAGGCCAACTTGAATGGGCGTGTTGCCCACTGGTCCGCCCCATTGCGATTTTTGCACTGGGTATGATGGTCCTAGCTACAGTCAGCCGCTTTAGACCGCGATGAGCAAATACTACGATGCTTCAATTCAATAACATGATTCTGTGCAATAACATGCAACTACCTTCAAAGGTGAGTGTGGCATCCAGCTCAGGACATCCGCATCTCTGGGAAGGTTTTCTTGCCAGGTGGGAACTCCAAGTCTACAATCTCTTTGCCGCTCTGGAAAGCAAAATGATCCTGTGCTGGGGCAGCACTGCCGCCCCCGCTGCCGTCACGGAGCTCATGAGTTTCGCCTCTCGCCACATTGTCGCGAAGCACACCTTTGTCTCCGTAACCACGCAGTCGGTGAGTGCGTGTTCCGGCGGCAGCAAAGTCTGTCTCATCTGGGATGTGAACGTTTGGACCACCAATCTTTATTCTCCTAGCATTGCCTCGGGGATCGCAGGTCTCGATAAAGTGTCCAAACACAGAACTGCCATACTGCCCCCAGACATCAGGCTCCAATATAGGCCGGCTGATTGACCTAGGCAAGGAGTCTGCACCCAATGCTCTCCTGTCGTCCAAGGGATCTGGAGCGATAGGCGCTGAGCTAAGCAAGGAGCCGCACTCCTTTTCAAAGCGCTGCCTGGGTTGCTGTTCAGGAACTT